CTGGAATTGGGGGTTGGCATGTCCAAACCTCCCCCCAGCTCTAATCACATCCCTTTAAGAAAAACTACTGTTTCAAGAACATGTCACACCCCACCAGGAATGCTCACCAAAACGTGCCACAACCCCCAATCACCCTAGCAACCAAAACATCAAGACCTTCACAAAGAAAGATTGCTGAGGGCTATTCAAAGGATAAAAAAATAATTAAAGGGGGAATAATTTGAGTCAAAAACAGGGGACTCCATTTCTTTAAAAACTCCAACTCTATGAGCACCATACCATCCTCTCTTTGAGGCCCAGGTGGCTGTGCAGTTTTTATGCCATCAGTCAAAAGGTGGACTTTGTCAGGACTCTCTGGAAACTTTCCTGGGAACCCCCCACACACACCAATAAAATTGGAGGGCAGGAGGGGTGTGTGGCTCTCCTCTCTTCCTTGATGGTGTCCCCTCTTCCCTTTTCCTATCCCTTCAATAAACTCATGCCTGCCACTCTGAACAACGTGTCTGAAATCTCTCTGGCATGATTGCAAGAACCAGAAAAAAAAAGATGCTGTGGTTTCTCATGGGAACTGTTCCCTGAAACATAATTAAAACCATGTGACACTGATGCAGAAATAGGTCAAATAATGAACTAGAATAGGGTCCTCAGAAAAGTCCTGATTATATTGGAATAGTTATAGATGTTGAAAATGTAGAAACAGTGGGGAAAGAATAGGTATATTGTAGCCATTTGGGGGAAATGGTTGGCTATTGGGGAACAATCAAAGCTGAGATCAACAAAACATCTCCATTTCTTCTACAGACATGAAGCATATGGCTGACGTCGCAGGTCAGGCTTACTTCTCCACCTCCCTGCAGTAGATATGAGCTGGTTTAATATGTTGCTTTGGTTTTCCTCTTTTCCGAATTAGGGTAGCCACCTAGCATGGGAATCAGGTGTCCCCTTAGGACAGTTTTCTCAGCCCTTGCTGCACAGTAGACTCACCAGGGGAGTTTTTACTATTGTTCCCCTGCATCCTGAGTAATTAAGTCAGTCTCTAGATTGGGACCCAGATATTAGCATCTCCAAGCCCCCCTAGATGATTCTAACGTGCAGTCAGCATCAATAGCTACTGCTTTATGAGATATTGTTTTACCAAACTGATATATTCAATGTTGATTTCTTAGGGGGAAAAAACAACTCTTCATGCAAGTTATTTAAGAGTTTTGGGAATACCACATTCTTCCCATAAGCAGACTAGTTAACATACATCTTGCACTTAGATTTTCCCTAATGAATGCCATTGCCTGAGCTGTCACACAAGAGTGGTATTTTCACATTTCTTTGGTGGAAGTGAGAGGAGATACTGTAGAGCTTGGCTGAATTCTGACCTGTATGTCTATCTGTAAGGCCCTTAAGAGCAAGGGATCCTGTGTACTTGTCAGACTGGTGTACCCCTGGAAATGCAAGTCTGGGCCAGTTAAGAACAGTGCCAAGTAATCACCAAGCCACCCTATATAGCCTGACACTACAAGAAAACCAAGTCTTTCTTGGGTCAAAAAGTTCTGCTTGTGTTTCCAGCTCTTTCTTCTTTACTTCCAATTGGCCAGTTACCTGCACCTAGGAGCCAACAATATAAGGAAGGAAATGGATTATTCCAGGTCAGAAAGGTTCTGGGAAACTTTAAGTAAGCTTGCCTCTGGAGAAAACACTTTTGGCCCCTGTTCCAATCTTGGCAAGCATCTCCATCTTCTGGCTGAGGGAGAAGAAACCCCTTCATCCTTTTCCAGTTAGTGCCTCTTTCTAGACCTAACTTCCTGAGCTTATGCTGAAATCCTGTTAACAATCCTGTAGGAGAGGCAAGTGACTTCAGATTAGACCACTAAAGATAAGGCTGAGCAGGGGGAGCAGTTGCCAGAGCCATTCATTGATGTGTCCACAGTGCCTGCTTGGGGAAGTCCCTGTGATAGGCCTACAGAAATATATTATTATAGACATGTACAAAACATTTTGAGTGTTTCTAGAAATGTGTAAAAGCTACTCTGTGGGGGCAAGGGCAAGTGGAAAATTCAAGGGCTCTGATTGAGAAGTTTAAGGAGGTATCTGTCTGCTCACATGGACAATCTCCTTTCCCACAGTGTCCATCGCAGACCTTGGTCTCCACGTGGAATTGAAGCCACTGCTAAGAAATCAAATACTGTGCAGACCAAGCCTTACACATAAAAGTAGAGTTGGCACAGGAAGCACAAGAAGAAAAAGTAAGAAGTCTCATCCAGGTCCAGGAACCCCTGGACGTCTCAGGGACACTGGAGTAAGAGTGAGCCCAGGCCAGCCTCAGCCAGCTCTGCAGGAGAGGCAGAAGCTGCACTTGACTTTGGTTTCAGCCACGTGCACTCTGTCAGACTGCCATCTGCTAAACTCTTTCCATCACTCCCTCTGCTTTTATGTCACACACCTGTAGTCCCCTCCCTCATAGAGATCTTATGGGCCCCAAAGTGAGATCCTTATTAGAAAGTACAAAGAGAAGAAAAAGCGTGGGTCTGGAAATCAGGCCAGAGCTCTTGGACCATGTACCCGAGGACACCATCCTTTCCTTCTCTGATCTCAGTTCCATATTTTAAAGGGACAAGAGGCTCAAGATTTTCTCCCCTGCCACCTGTGTAGCACCCCGTTTTCCCCCATCACAGCAGCCCTATTGGGATTACTTCATGTGTCAGCCTACCGGATTATGAGGTCAGTCCAAGAGGGGCCAGGTCTGTCTTACACATCCTGTGTCCTCAGTGCAGTGGCAGGTACACAGGTACTCAAAAATATTTCTGTTGCATGAGGAAGGAAGGAGGAAGATAGCCTTACAAGCCCCAGGGACCTATTTGCATGAAGGCTGCTAGGAGTCCTGAAAGTTCCTGCAAATTAACAAGGAAGAAAACTGGTTTTCTCCATTCCCTAAAAAGGAAAAACAGTGAAGCAAGTGGCAAATGACAAAATAGGATGTGGTCTAGATTTTCAGGCTCTACAACCCTGAAAAAGCAAAGTTACCTGTGGGCCCCCAAACCTTGTGAACCTCCCAGGCTGGTCCTTCCCAGGGGGTAGACTGACTATAGTGGCTTTTTTCCAATGGTGTTAGAGGCCTGAGGCTTTGCCAAAGCCAACAGATGAGACTCTGTTAGGGCTTTATAGTTTACACATATTTTTTGTTTATTTGTTTGCTGTGCTGGGCATGGAACCCAGGACCTCCTGCATGTGAGGCCACCCAGCCCTACACACACATTTTCTTATTCTTCAAAGAACTCTGTAGAATAGGGAGATTGCCTGGGGGCTGAGGAAGAAGGGTGACATTAGAACAGAGTGGGACCTGGGAAGGACTGACTAGAAGGGACATCAGAGTTGAAAGCCCCAGAGTTTTCCCCCTACCGGGAATAATTTGGAGGGGACTCTGATGTGTGCCCTTAACACACACAATATCAGAAAAGGGAGGAAGGGGTGACTGAGCAGGTGGACTTGGAATCTCAGCAGGTCTATGTCATGACAAATACCGCTGAATATAATCTGGGTTCTTGATTTAAAAACGGGAGCCGGGGGAAGGAAAAACGGAGAGAGATTTAGCATTAGATTACTTTTACAATAACCCAACTCATACTCAAATTTTGGAGTCACAGAACCAAATGCCTTGCCTTCTACAGGAGTATCCCCAACTCTCCACAACATCAACATCACTGGCAACCATTTGGTTCAGCTTTTCCTCCCACAGGATGGGACTGGGGCGTGGTAAGTGAGGCAGTGCCTGGAGGGGCAAACCGTAAGAGGTGCCAAAAAAAAAAACTCAGTAAACATGTTCAAAAACTTTTTTCAAAGACTCAAAATCAATGCCAAAAAAGTTCACAGTGAACAAAATATCAGTACTTTCAATACAGACAGGATCTAGCCCCGTACTTGCTCAACATGTGAATGCCTCTTCAAACTCACCACGATCCTAGCTCTGAGCAAACTCCTTCTCGTTTTGGGACATTTACACTTGCTGTTCTTTCAGTCTGGAACATTCCTTCCAGATCCTTACCTCCTTGGCTCCCTCTCACTGTTTAGGTTTCTATTCTAATGTCATCTTTCCAGAAAAACGTTTCCTTCTCTGACTTACGACGGAAAAGTCACCCATTCCCGTCCCCACTGCTGTCTTCTTACAATTACTCTCTGTCCTGTCACAGTTTTATCTGACCACTATGCAATTGTTTTATTTGCTTATGTATTTGCTAATCCCTCTTCAGTGGTTTTTTGCACATAATACATGCTCAAAAAATATTTATTGAATGAATAAAGTAAGCTCCCGTCTATCAGAGCTCATGCAAAGGGCTTTATTTGTATTATCTCATTTCATCCTGTCTGTAATCCTCTCCGATAGGTTCTATTACCACTGTTTTACAGACAAGCAAACTAAGGTTTAGAGAGATTGGAGACGTGATCAAGGTCACGTGACTTCCTAGTAAGTTAATTGGAGACTAGCCATCTAGAAACTATTTCTCTTCACCACCCGCCGCCACTCAGGTCCCAGTCTCATCAACTCTTACTTGAATTACTTCAGTGGCCTACTAACCAGTCTCCCAGCTTCTACTGTCGCCCCCAACAGTCCTTCTGAAAGAGCAATCTGGAGTTCTTAACTCAGACCAGTGCACGTCTCCCCTAAGCTTCAGTCCCTCAGTGCTGTCCATTTCTCTCAGAATATAAACCAAGGGCACCTCTTGGCCCCCACACACTCTCCCCTGGCTTGCTCATCTCTAGCCACTCTGGCTTCCTCCTTGTCCCTTGAACACACTGGGCAAAATTCCACCTCGCTTATTTCTCCTTGGACTGCTGTTCCTCAGATAGCCACATGGCTCACTCTTACCTCCTTCCCTGGGTTCAAAGGCTGAGCATCATCTAAAGAAATTGCTCCCACCCCTGCATTCCTGCTGCCTCTTAGCTCTCCTCCCCAATAGGATTCATCTACCCCCCTCTAATACTTTTTCCTTTTTTTTTTTTTAGGTGTTGATGGACACAACCCAATGCCTTTATTTTTATGTGGTGCTGAGGATCGAACCTGGGTCCCGCCTGTGCTAGGCGAGTGCTCTACCGCTGAGCCACAATCCCAACCCCTTTTTGCTTTTTTTGATTATTTATTTGTTTATTGACTGTCTTCCCCTCTGCAGAGGATGCAAGTCCCATTAGGTCAGGGACCCTTGTCTTTACTTGTGTGTCCTGGCCCCACACCGATGCTCAATTAAGCTTTTCTGAGTAAATGGTAAAATGGTGGAATGAGGCTATGAAACCAGGTGACTTTTCTCCAGGCGCTCTTAACTAAATCAGGAGGCAGTGTTGTGTTGTTCAGGGATTATCTCCATGACCGCTGCTTTCTACTATTACCCAAGCCTGAATGAAGGCTCAGCCTCGCACACCTGTGAGGTCACTTAGCAGGCATCTTACCGTAGTTACTTGGCTTCCTTATCTCTCTCTTCCAAGGACAGATTTTACTCTTGTATTCCCCAAGTCACCTCTGCCTGCCTCACTGAGCCATTGTTCTGACAACAGTAACATCCCAACACTTTCCTCTATAAAAAGCACCAGCAAAGGCAGCAGTGGACCCAAGGGCCCAGGGAAGGGTTCCGGTAGGATCCACTCCTGGAGAGGCTGTCCCCATATCAGTCTGAGCTTGGGTCAGCTGCCTTCCTGCTGTCCCACCTGTAGACACAGAGTGGAACCAAACCACATGCCTTCCCACTTCTTCACCTCACATCGCTTTGTAACTCTGTGGCTGCGAACTTCTCAACTGTCCTGTCAAGTTTCATGATAAAATTGTACTTCTAGAAAGCAGATCCCACCTGTGCTCTGGCTAATTTCTTCTTTGGCTTTGTACAAAAGGTGCTATGTTTCTGGCTTTCCTCAGGCCCCAAGCACTGTATGTGTGCATGTGTTTAAACAAGTTTAGATCCCATACATTTCATTCATTTTAAGCACACAATGAAATGGACTTTAAAAATTTCACCCAGTTGTGCAGCCAACACCACAATCCAGTTTCAAAATCAATCCCATCACCCCAGGAAGGTCCCTCATACTCATTTACAGTCAGTCCCCACCTTACCTTATTCCAGGCATCCACTAATCTACTTTGTCTCTACAGATTCACTTATTTTGGACATTTAATATCAACGGAATCATTCCACAAGTCTGACTTTTTCTACTTAGCATAATGCTTCTGAGTTTCATCCATGCTGAAGTGTGTACAATATTTTGTTCTTTTTTTATACAGTATCCCGGGTGTGTGGTTATAAATGGGATTAAATGAACAGTTCTGGTCAATGGGTCCTATGCAACTCTAGGTGTCTCCTGGAGAAGTCCTAGACCCTGGTCACAGGGCTCCCTCAGCTCTCTGAGGAACCTTTCTGCAATTCTGTCTTGGTAGGAGGCCAAGTCTTTTGTAGTGGGCATCAAGGTACCTTAAAGATCCGATGTCCTCAAATCAATGTCCTTTAGAGGTCCTGGGTCTCCTTATTAGACTGAAAGCTCTTGGCAGGGAGAAACTGGGTTTTCAATTGCTCCTGTCTTTTCTCAGTCTCCCAAGAGCAGTGCTGAGAAGAAAGCAAGTGTTTGATAGATGTGTGTGTGTGTGAAGCAGAGACACAGTGGAGGGACTGCAGATAGTCCCTCCACTCCCTCTCCATTCCTTCAGCCTCACTGCCTGGTGCCAGCTGTGCACTTTAGGGCTGCAGTACTGCACAGGTGTACAAGAAGAGGGTGGCTGTGCCACCTCCTCAGGGGCTGTGTGTCACGAGCCATTCGTGGATTGCATGTGGGTCACTGAGCATGGAAGCCTCGTGGATAGAGACATTTGGTGTCTGGGAATAACCAAAGGACATTTCCTCTGGTCAATTGCCCAGGGAAAATGTGAATCTTTCCCGCTCTGCAGTGGCCCAGCCCACACAGCACCTAAGATGGTATGACCTGCAGAGATGTCAAGCAACTTGCTGACTTCAAGACATCAGGAAGCAAGACTCTGCCCTTGAAACCTTGTCCCTGCCTTTGAGGTATCCCCTTAAATAAACCACCAGAGCCATTTTTTCTTTTGTCTAGTTCCAGAACCCATAGACTAGATCTATCAGGGACTTCACATTATGGAAATATATTTCTGAGTATCTGGTTTTGTTATTTATTAATTATCTGAGATTATAAGTTTTAGGGTGGCTTGGATTCTCCTGCACAGAAACAAGAACCCCTTATTGAGACGCTGGCCGTCATCCTCCCCTCAGAAAGCCGTGGACTCAGATATCCCTCTAGTCAGTTCCGCAGGATACACAGAAAGAGTACAGTCCCCTTCCAGTGGGTTCTCATTCTGGATGACTTTAGACAGGGTTTCCCTTCTGCAAAAGAGGGAAAATGCGTACTCTACATAGCCATGAGGATTAAATAAGATATCTGTAGCATACTCCCATTCCCTCTCTTTTCTTAGCCCTAAGTCCAGAGATGAATGAGATGGTGTCATAGCTTTAGTGGTTTGCTAAGAGTGGTGGTCACATGATGCTAAGGGTGTTCCCATCTCAGTTGGAAGCATTTAACCTGTATCAGAAAGGTATGCCAAGGACTCTGAATTCGACTTTGATCTTGGTGAGATGTTGCAAGACACAGTGGCAGATGGGAAGCTGGATGTGTTTCATTTGATGTGCATAATTGAAGTCCCTAAAAGAAAGTGCTTGTTTTGACTTTTATGCTTATTGTTAACATTAATAGATTTTGAGATTTCATATTCTAATATGGATTTCTGATTTCCTTCAAAAAAAAAAAAAAAAGAACAGAAGATCTGGCAATCGGGTTTCATGTGTGGAAGGACAAGCACCCTCTAGCTCCGACTAGGTGAGCGTTCTTCACCCATGCTCCTTCACACTGCCAGCCTGGCTCTGAGGCTCTTGAAACCAAGTCCCTTTAAAATATGATGCCCAGCAAGGATCATTCCTGGAATGCACAAAGGTTAAGTAAAGCAGGTGAGTTGCTCAGAGATGCAAATTGTCTGCTTGTTGGAAGGGTGGGGGGGGGCGGGCTGTAAAACTGCTTTCGTCTCCTCTTATCCAATGCAGCATGTAGATGCTAAAGAGAGCCTGAAGAGGGGGGCAGAGTGGCTGAGCTTGACCTAAACTTTTGGCTAGGATTTAGAATAGGGAGGTTTGCTTAAGAGCAACTGTCCTGACTGCCCTTTACTTACTAGAAGACTGTGCATGTAAAGTGCTCAGCTTGCTGCCTGGCACAGACACAATGACACTCATGACACACTGACAGCCAGTGTCATTGCTGTACCCATCACTAACCCTTGACTTCCTGGCACATAACCAGCAACCTTTCCTTTCTTTAGTCCTGACCCTCTAATGGTCACCTCCCCTGCATCTGCCTCCTAACCTCTTCCTAATGCCTGGCTCACTCATTTGCAGCCCTGTTAAACTAGCACTAGATGTGCTAGTGTCGTGATCCTGCTTCTCTTTCATGAGTAGCAATAAAGTCACTGAAGGGAAGCGAGCCTGCCCGCTGGCCTTCTGAAGAGGAAGTGGCAAGACATCCCTCTCCACCATGGTCAGGCTCTGTGTGGGAAGAGTCATCTCAGCCCAGAGCTGATGGTGTTGGAGAAGTAAGGAGGACAAAGATGCCCGCAGCATGGGAAGAGTAGGGACATTGGTGCCAGCTGGAAAGCCACCACTTGCTCTCTGTCCTGAGACAGAGGGGGCTGAGCAGGAGAGTGCCTGCTGGAATTCTCCTCCTGGAGACAGCTCTGGTGAGAGGCCTGCTCCCAAGTTCTACTTCTAACTAGGAACTGAATTGACAGGCTCTTGCCACATTTGTGAGCAAGTGAAGAGATGGGGCCTGCTCTGAGGTTATCAAAAGGCCAATGTACCATAAATGCAGCTGGTTATTCTCCCTGGTGGTAGAAAACCAACAGCATCACCAACCATAAGTGTGACCTTCCTCCTCTACTTCTCTGTTGGGTTTCTCTTCTTGCTTGTTTTCTTTGCACAGTAGGCAGTTCAGGAGGCTAAGCCCCAAACAAATGCTTCCTTCCTTTCTGAGGTGTCACAGCTCTGTGAGCCCAGATGTACAGCCTGTATCTTTTTCCCTCCCAACCCCAGCCCATCTGTTCCACAAAGATGAACCCTAAAGCCCCTTTAGGTAGTGGGGGCCTAGCCCCAAGTGCCAGAGAGAAAATTGCCACTTTTTCTCTTTCCTCCTACCATGTGATTGGCTTTGAGCAAAAGCTAATTCTAGGCAGCCTCTGTCAACTTCCTGAGGTTGATGTCTACCATGATCCTTTTGGGAATGTATGCTTCCCTGTTACTGGTGGGGAGAGAATCTGGGGAGTCCTGAAGGCTGAAACAGGGGCAGAATCTGAGAAATGTTGGGCTACGAGGATGCTGCGCCTTCTTCATCACTGTCTCATCCTGGGGACACAATTGCTACCACCATGATGGTGTCCTACTTGGGATGGGGGTACAGGGAAGGTACTTCGCTGTTGTGTGCACTGATGCGTCATGATGGGACTCTTCCCTCTTACTTGTTATTCAGGACCCAGGGTTGTGCCAGCCCAACACACATGGGTGCTCTGCTTTACCCACCCCCTTGTGGAGATGATAGTATAGCTAAAACACTCTGTGCATTTACTTTGTTTGACCAGGCATTTTAGTATCTTTACTAACTCATTTGCTGCTCATAATAAAGTAGGCAATATGTTTCCTTCATCTTTCAAATGAAAAAGCAGGCTTAGAAAGGTTAGGTGAGTTGCCCAAGGTCCCCCAAACAATAAGTAGTAGAGCTGAAATTTGAACGCAGAAAACGAAACTCCAAAGCCCCCCACTCCTATTGCCATTTCCACATCCTCTCATAAAACTGAGGGCCTGAGGAAGGCCAGAGGTCTATACAAGGATTTCCTTGGGGCCTAACCACGAGCAAGCCCTCTCTAGGGAAGAGAACTGGAGGCAGCTCTCTGGTCCCCTCAGTTCTAGGCTGGTGGGGAATATGTTGATTTCAATGAGAATCTGGCATCTGGCACTTATAACACTAAGGCATAGCTGAATGCAGCAGTGCACACCTGGACTCCAGCTACTCAGGAGGCTAAGGCAGGAGGATCCCAAGTTCAAGGCCCGCCTGGGCAACTTAGCAAGACCCTGGCTCAAAATAGAAATAAAAATAAGAGGCGAGTAGTTAAGCACTTTCCTAGCATATGTGAGGCCCTGGGTTCAATCCCCAGCTCTACCAAAAAAAACAGAACAAACACACACACACACACACACACACACACACACACACAGAGGCATCTGTCTGAGTTTTCAGATCAGAAAGAAAATCCTTTTGGCAAACTCCTCAAGAGAGCTAGCCTCTAACCAGCTCCTGGGGCTCATGATCTGGTAGAGACAGTGAACTCTTGTCTTCACCCTGTGTCTCCCCTGCCCCCCACCACCCCCACTTTTTACTCTGGAAAGGCCTTCTCCTGGGCCTTGACTAAAGAGTCCCCACCCTGAAAAAGACCAACCACTGAGCTACAGATCAAAGAACATCCATCACTTTCCTGACCCAGGGCAGCCTCAGTTGGCACTACCTGAGCCACTCTGCCCCCAGAAAACCCCCAGGCCAGCTGAGATGAGTACCACCTGGCAGACTCCGGCCTGCAGCTCATGGGCCTGTATAACCGCCGCTCTAACTGCACCAAACCTTTGATCTAAAACTGGATTGTGCTTATGCACTCAGACTACACATACCAATTCTCATCAGAAGCTTTTTTCTTCTGGCAGAGTATGAGCCGAAAACACAGTGCTTTTTTAAACTCAGTTTTTGTCACCCTCTTCAAAAATCTGAGACCTGAACTCTTATTCCCACCCAGTCAAACCTTTAACCTCCGCTTCCTCTGTTCTTCAGCCTTCCTTCACAGGAAAACTGCTGACAAACTGCCCCGCCCCGTGCACTCTCTTATAAACATGGGTTTGCTTTTACTGTTTACAAAAGTAAAATATGTCCAGTGTGGCTTGAGATGCCTTACGAAGACAGAACTGGCCCACTGTACCCATGGACGAGAGAAGGGCAAGAGTCGGGATGGAGGCAGAGGTTTTTAGTCTGCAGCTGTGGATTGAGAGAAGACTGATGGAAGGAAATTTCCAGTAGGAAACTCACAATTCCACTTCCTGGAAAAGGGTATCCTATCAGAGAAAATCTGAGAGTTCCCCAACCCTCCTAAATGGGGGGTGAGGGGCAGTTGAGGGACACTTTGATCCCCTGTGTTTGCACCCTCTTTTGCTGCTGTGGATCAACAAAGGTCAGAAGCAGCTTCCATCAAACCAGAAGACCCTGGGGCAGCAGGGGAGACAGAGGCCCCCGGAAGGGGTGTGTGCGCCTGAGCCAAGGAGTAACTAGAATTTGGGAGAACTGGCCCCTGGAGGAGCCATTTTACCAAACACAGAGTAGAAACCACACAGATCAAAGTTGCCCGATTAGGGCTGCTCCTGGCCCAGGAGCAGGCTGCGGTACCAGTCAAGTAATGGGTGTTAAAGTTTCCTCTTGCTAAGGAAATACCTCAAGTACAGGAATCTTGCTAATGACAAAAAAATGTCAGACACAGGTAAAGTGGTAGGGGAGCCTTTGGGGGCAGTGGGAAACTTCTAGAGCCTTGCAAGTCAGACTTCAAAGTTCCCTCCTGTATGTAGGGGATTTTGAGAAACCAGTGCAAATGATGCGAGTTTTACTGCACTGTACTTAGAGGTGAGACAGGCCCCATTTGTTTATTTCTCCAAAAAGATCACTTTGGGCACTTGGTGGGGGGAATAGTCAGTCTTGTTTATGATTCAGATGTCTTGTCATTTCAACATCGTCTTACACATACTTGTACACGCACAAGGATTCTGCAGAAGTCCTGAGACCTCAGGGCACAAGCAGGCCAGGCAGGAGCTACAATAGTCCAAGAGGTCAATCCTCTTGTCTCTCACATGTTGTCACCCCAGAGGCTCAGGGTGACTCTCAGAGAGAGGTGGGGGAGAAAGAGATAGAAAAAAACAGAAAGAGAGAAAGAGAGAAAGAGAAAAGAAGGAAAGAAGGAAGGAAGGGCGGAAGGGAGGGAGGGAGGAGGAAGGAGGAAAGGAGGAGGAGGGAGGGGGAGGGGGGAGAGAGAATTACAGGCCATAGAGCAGCTGCCTGAGGCCATTTTCTCCACACAGAGTGCCAAATATATTTCCCAGACATGCTTGAAAATCTCTCTCCTCAAGGACCCAGCTCCCTATGATGGGCTTATGTTTCCAAGTTCTGGGGGAAATTTTCTACTGCATCCTCCACTTTGGGCCCTACCACACAAAAACAAACTCAAAGCACAGGCCAAAGAAGTCTAAAAACCTCATTACCTTTTGGGAGTAGGGATGGGAGAGGAAAATAAGACAGAGCAAAACCTCTATTGCTTTCTGGATAAGTTACCATTACCATGCTGACTGAAGCCCTCAATGTCTAGTCGGGATGCTGAACATTTCAGAAAGAGGGTTGTCCTCCCCTCTTTTTGTAGGTGAAAGCCATGGAGAAAGAAGCATGAAGTGCAGAAAGAGGAGACATACATTAATGCAATCCACTGACATGCGAGCCACCGGCTGTCAAAGTCCCAGAAATATCTCAGAGAATCAGACAGCCTCCTGCAAATGGTACAGAGGATGACATGGAAGAGGACAGGCACAGTATTCAGGCCTCCTCAGCCTATGGAGCTACTTTCCCCAGAGAGAGATAATTGGTGTGGGCCCACTACGCTGCAGATATTCACAATGGTCACACATGTGGAGGAAGGAGAGCAGGGGAGACCAACTTGGTGGCCTTAAGAGCTCTCTTTCTATACAGGTCCTTGGGTACTGTCTTCTTATAAAATGCTACTTCCTACGTTTTTTCAGACATCCCTCCTAAACCTAATTGCTCCCATACTGCCTCTGATCTCGCCTCCAGACTGCTGGCATCCACTTCCAATTCTTGGCTCAACCCCATG